TTAATATTTGTTTTAGGATGTGCGTAAATTTATATATCCGAACACCCGAGCTAAAAATAAACATAAAGCCGAAGCTTTATCTTTTTTTCCAAGAACAATTTCAGCTTGACATCTATCTATGACTGAATATGTACAATTTTTTTTAATAAATACTCTGGTTGAATAAATTAAATCAAAATTGATCAAATTAATTCATTAATATTAATTAATTCATATAAAAATGTTTAATAATCACAATTTACAACAATCAGAAAATGAACCAGAATATTTACATTCTAGAAAAAAAGTTAATAAAAAATGGTTTCTTCATTATACATGGTTAGAAACTGAAGTAATTAATGAAAATACTATTCTTTTTTGTAAACTCTGTAGAAATAGAAATGGGAGTACACAATTTGCACTAGGCACAGAAAGTTTAAGACTGGATGGAATTAAGCGACATTTAAATACCCATGAACATAAAGAATCAGAATTACAATTTCTTAACTCAGATAATAGTGAATCAAATAGTTCAGATACATTATCAGAGGCCTCCGACAATGTATCTGAACTATTAGATAAAGAAAAATTATTCATTATTTCATCAATAAGAAATGTTTATAAACAAAATCTTTCCTTAAATACTTATCCTGATTTATGTAATTTAATATCACTACAAATTGAAAATAATGATGAATTGATAATAGTGAGAGTATTTCTACTTTAAAACTTGCTTCCTTAGAAAAACCATTACCATCTAGATCAAAATATGCAAGTTATAAAAATCCCATGGCTGGGTTTGATTTTTTAGATAGTATAGCCTTTGTGATGATTGAAGAATTAAATTCTTCATCTTATTGGAGCTTAATGATTGATGAAGCCAATAGTATTGATCATGATAAATATTTGGCAATTGTGGGAAAATACATTGCTAATAATATGCCAATTATGAGATATTTGGGCATGATTAATCTAGACTCAACTGTTGGAGAAAACATTTATAACCATATCATGTCATTTTGTAACTTAAATGAGATATCTTGTGACAATATAATTCATTTTGGAAGTGATGGTGCATCTAATATGACTGGTTATAAAAGTGGTGTTGCAGCAAGGTTTAAAAAAATCAATCCATTCATGTCATCAAATCATTGTGTGTCACATAGGCTTCATTTAGCAGGAAAAGATGCTTCTAATAAAGTAATATATTTTCAAAAATATGAAAAGACATTACATAATTTATATGGGTATTTTTCCAGATCACATAACAGGCAAGATATTTTAAAATTAATGCAGGTAATTATTCATTTTCTAAAATTATTTAAATACTTTGCTTTATGAATTTTTTCATTTTATTAATTATTATATAAACATTAGGAAATTAATAATGAACCATCACTTAGAGTATTGAATTCATGTGACACTTGATGGCTATCATTTTCAAATTCTGTAAATAACTTGCATCAAATTATGAACTCTGTACTTGCTGCTATAAATGATGATATGGAAAATGGTGATCAGCAATCAGAGGTTTTGTTGAATCAATTAGATCAAGAATTTATTTCTGCAACAATGTTTCTTGCTGATTTAACAAATATTTTAAAAAAATTAATCAATATATTTCAATTAGAAAATCTATCAATATCAAAATTTAAATTAACTCTTGACAACACAATTAAAGATATAATCTCTGAATTTATAGGTTATGAAGATATTCCACCAAATTATGGCATAATATTTAAAAAATATTTAGATGAATATAATCAGTCAGTACCTTTGTTTGTCAAAGAGTACTCATTGGCAATAATAGAAACAATTTCAAATAGATTCCCTGAATCTGAATTATATTTCTCTTTTAATATTTTTGATCCAAAAGAACTTCCTGATAATGAGAGAGATTTAATTACATATGGAATAAATGAGATAGAGTTTCTAGATAAATTTTATGGTGAAACTAAGTTTGTGAGTGATAATGAATTTTGTGGAATTATTGAAAAAGGAAGACTCATGGAAGAATGGAGCTTGGTGAAGCCTTATCTTCAATTTTACAAATACACAGAATTGGACTTTATTCAATTGTGGAAACGAATTTTAGATAATGATGAAGCTTTTTCTTTTAATTATCCAACAATAACAATTATTATTAAAATAGCACTGATTGTGCCTCTTTCTAATGCTCAAGTAGAAAGAATATTCTCACAACAAACTTTAATAAAAAATAAATTAAGAAATAAAATGAATATTAATACATTGAGTAATCATTTAATGTTATTATTAAATGGACCAGAAATAGAAGATTTTGATTTTGAAAAGGCATATGAGTATTGGAGAAGTAAGAAAACAAGAAGGATATAGATTTTAAAAAACTATATTAAATTTATTGTATTTTAAAATATACTTTTTATAAATAAAATAATTATTATTATGTCCTTCAAAAATGTGCGCATCTAAATTTGGATATATTGTTACACGACGAAATTTATACACTGGATAAATAGATATCTAAATTTCTGTTGTTTTTGAAACTTTAAAGAACAACATTTCAAAATACACGAAGAGTTAGTTATGTATGCAGTAGTATTTCCTTTTGGGGGCATGGTTCGTTTCTAGGGATGTTAAACAGCTGACTCAACCGTGGTTGAACCGCGGTTGAGGCTGAACCAAACCAACCGTGGTTGAACCACGGTTGAACCGCGGTTTGTCGATCTGATTTACATAAATAACCAATTAAATTTTAATCATGATAAATGTAACGATTTTAAATAAAATAAATAAGAAATAGTCTTAACATTATAGTCAAACAAATTATTTATTTATTTTTACTATTAAGTTTAGAAACATTTGGATAGATGAGATTATCTGTCTGTTTATTAATTCGTTTTGAAGTAATTCTTTACATATAATGTCTAATGACAATGATTTTTCTGACAACAATAATAATTATCTTCCTGAGTTTGAAATTAACAGAACAAGAAAACGATGATGACAATGACGACAATGACTTTATTTTAGATAATATAACAAATATTTGAAAGTCTATCTTCAACTAATAATATTTGCAATGGAAAATATATCTAAGTAATAAAAATAAAACAACATCTGCGGTTTGGAATTTTATGTATAAAAAATATAATAGTCAAAATGAAGTTATAGGAATTATTTGTAGTTTATGTGAAAAAAATTATGCAAAAAAATCATCAACACGACCACTTATGGATCATTTAACAAAAGAACATAGTAATATTCTTTCTACAACAAATCAATTACAAAAACCATATAAAGAAAATGATAATAAAAGAATAAAAGAATGTACAGATGCTGTTATTAATTTTATTGTTGGGTTCCAAATGCCATTTTCAGTTATAGGAAATTTTTGGTTTAAAAAATTATGCAATATCTTTGATTCATGGTATATCTTACCAACATGTCAATCTTTACAAAATCAAATTTATCAAATATTTGAAAATCATCATAATTTAATTGCAAAAGAATTATCAAAGCTTACAGTAAAAGTATTGCATGTATATGTATATTATATTAAAAATCGTTGTTTAAAATTAACCACTCATATTTAAAAGTATGTGATCAACAACGGTTATTAAAATTGGCCAATCAGATCTTAGTATATGATCGACAAACCACGGTTCAAACCGGTCTAACACGGTTTTTAAACCGAACCGACCATTTAACATCCCTATTCGTTTCTAATAATCGAGTGTATACACAATGAGAGAGATCAATTAAAAAAGACGCAAAGCACCAATGTGTTAAAGACTACACTAGGTTGGAAGTGCGTTACGATGATACCTTACGAGTTTTATTATTGTCGAAAGTGTCCATTTAACAAACAATAATAATATCTACCACACAACTTGGTATTTGCAATAGTAAAACATATTGGAAGTTACCTCTAGCAACATAATAATAATAATAATAAATTTTTTGTTCGTATTTAATATATTTTATACACACACATATTTATAGTATTATATATGTATATATATATATATACACACACACACATATACATATATGGTAAATAAATAAAAAATATCCAAGAATTTAAAACCAAGTTTTTAAATCCTCAATATGATAAATTTGGATTTTATAATCTTCGACCAATTTTCTATTTAATTCTATTGCTTCTTTCTCATCATCTCTCTTTTTGTAATTCATTCCCAAGGTTTTCAAAGTAGAAATTTTATTATTATTTACGAAATTTAAAATGATTTTTAATATTTCAGTCTCGTGTTTATGGTTATTATTCTGAATAATTAGAGTATTTAAAGACGCAATCTCATTGGATGATAATAAATCGGAGAGTTCCTTCAAATCACCTTCATTATTAATTACTATTCTTAGATATTCTAAATTCAGTGGCAAGTTGTTTTTTAATAAATTTATGAGATTAACCTCCTCCATTGGATTACTATCAAATCTTAATGAAAGCTTTTTTAGTGAATTTTTAAAATTATTTAATACTCTAATCACTATTGGATAACATGGTGTTAAAATGCCAATAATTTTAAATTCTTCTATGTTGTCACAATGATTGATGATTGCGTTCCCAATCTCGACGGTAAAGAAATTAGTTATCAATCTTTTGCAATTCTTGCCGCTTGATTTAATAAATTCATTTTGATATTTGGGATAATAATCTCTATCCATTTTATAAAATCCAAAATCCAAGTTTTTAAAACTAAAATTTGAATCTGCTAAACTATTTTTGAAATCTTTTGATGATGGGGCACAATTTTCCATGGCAAGTTGATAAATGTTTCTGAATTTAGATAAAATTTTGAAATCTTCAATATCGAATATTGCATCTTTTATAGATAAAGATCTTAAACTATTTGACTGACATTCTAAAGCTTTAATCAGCGATGATATGTTATTAGAGTGACGTTTTATTAAGATATCATAAAGGTTTCTTTGCTTTTTGATCAATTCAATGATTGAATTTGTTATATTTTCTTCTTTGTCATCTCCATAAGAAATATCTAACTTTCTTATTTTCTTACTAGATGAACCGACCAAATTGACAAATTTTACAATGTTTCCATCATCATCATCATTTAAATTCCAGATATGAAATTGAAATTGTGTCAAATTAATTAGAAAATTTACATTTCCTTCATTGTTAATGCTACTTATGCTATTATTATTATCATCATCATTAAGAAACTCAAAATTTGGTGCTTTTGACCAACTCCTTGAAGCGCAATAACTTAAATAATCTAAATTGTTAGATTTTCTAGAAAACAATCTGATTAATTGGTCGATAATCAGACTTATGATATCATTGTAGTTATCTTGATTTCTAAGTTTTTTGTTTTTAGTTCCGGCCCATTCAACAATTTTGTGGACGAAGACTTGAAAATCAAGTTCTTTTAAATATTTTGGGTAATCAAACAATGGTTTTCTTGTTAACTCTACATCGTATCCTCCTCCGTCACTTTCGCTATGAGTGTTTTTATTGATTAGAGTTTCAATTTCTTTTCTATCTTCTATGCTTAAAAATCTCAAATATGTTTGAATGATGATTGGTGTTTTTACAAACTTGTATTTCTTTTCGAACGGTCTACTCCATAACACATATACGACATTTATGCACCATATTTTATTAACCAAAAGGCTTGAAAATAATCCGGGTCCTTGATTGCTAACATGCTCGAATATTTCTTGAAAGCATTCATTCGGTAACGAATTGATAACCGTCATTTTTTTTTCCCAAGTGAGAAATTACAATAATAAAAATATATACTGTTTATTTTTATTTATACTAATTAAAAATTTGTGTTTCACAAATTTCTCAAGCTTCTTCTTCTACATATTAATCTATATTAATCTATATAATCTATATACACATCTATTCACGATTTCAAATGTTCAAACCGGTTCCGTGCAACAGTAGTAGTCAAATTGTTTAGCATTAGCCACAAATGTGATCAACCAGCGAGCAGATTCGATATTAAATAAAAATTCTTATGGTGAGTGAATTAAAATAAAAAAAATCAAGGGCAATGATAAATTATTTATTATTAATTCGCAACAAATTATCGTCGATGAAATAATTTTGTGAATGAAACACGGATAAACGTAAATTATAAATAAATCGAGAAAAAATCTTACCTGACACCGAAGAAGCAATAAGTTTGAATCAAATTTCTTGTATTAATGTTGAAATTTCTAAATTTTACAAGTTTCGATTGATGAATTAAATCTGCAAGATCCCAATTACCGCAGAAAGTTTTATTTACATTGATGAAGAAGTAACAACCAGCATAAGAATTACAGTAACTGATAATTCTGATGAAGAGGAAGAAACGGAAATGGTAGGTGGTTATTTCTGATAAAGAGGCCACCAGACAATTCTGCAATTAGTTACCAAGGATTTTGAAAACAATTAGTAATTTAATAAACATGTCCAAGATGATGCAAAGCAACTCACGATAATAAATAGATTTTATTTATAAAGTCCATACCATAAAGGGACTTTTTTTTTCACAAACTTTCATGCAAATCATTTATTGCCTCATTCTAAACTCAAATAAAATTTATGTCGGGAACAAGAAGAACGAGCAAATTTTTAAAACAAGCGACATAAAATCGGCATGAAAACATCCTTTTAACGAGGACTAACCATAAGTACCGGAGGCAGCCATATATAATTCATTGTTTGTTTTTCTTGACGGAGTGTAATTGCAAGGGTCATAATTTGAATTGTGTTGAATACTATTATTATTGTCTCGATAATTGATGAATTTATTATATAAAATTTTTCCTCGAATTCGGATATAATCAATCACATTCTGTCTGAGAAAGTATTTTTTTAACAATACTAATAAAGCGTAAAAATTTTAATGATTGATATAATATGAGTGATGTCATTGAATCGTGATTTGAATCCTAAAATTGAAAAATAATAGTATGGATCGTTATAGTGAAGGAAGTTAGGAAGGATTTCAGTAAAAAATAGGATTGCCTAAAAGGCTTGGTCGGTTATAAATGGTTCAGCGTAAGCCTTTTTATTGATGGTTTGTGTAACTCCCAGTCTTTATTTTAAAAGAATTCCAGGGAGTAACTTTTTTTTTTGTTAAATATATTTAAATAGTAATTATTTATTCATTGATTTTTTTAAGTGCAATTGATTAATTTGGATAAATGATTTAATGTAATGGCTTTGGATTTTTGTTTATTGTAAAAAGCCATCGATAAAAATAAGCCAGCCACACTCCTTATTAGTATAATTATTATGATGTTGATGAATGTTTAATAGTTTGTATCAAAACAAAATAAATCAGGTCATTTAAAAAACAAATAAGATTTCTTTGACAATAATTTAACCTCACAGCCACCTTATAAATAAAAAGGATAATACTATAGTAATCCTATTTTTTTTCTTCCTTCTTTATGTTTTAAACGAGAAATTTTTTTTAAAAATCATAATTATTTTTTTACCATTTAAAAAAAAATTTTTTTAAATTAATGTCAATTGCTACATCAAATCGATGTCTAAACGAACTCGCACAAATTCAGGATGGAGGTAAACTTGCTTCATTGGTGAGTAACATTCTTTCTAATTATCCATCCATCCATTCCCAACACTTTAATAATTAATTCAATTCTTTAATCGATTAGCTACTATGCTCGAAACTAAAGTCAAGAGGAGCATTAATCAATGATATATACGACGATGGCTATGATGATACTGAATTAGAATCCTTCGATCAAGAATTACATCGACGTTATAATTTAATGTATTTTGTTCCTAGAAGCAAATTTAATAAAAGAGATGTGGAAGTATATGCAAACGAAAATGATGATGATGAAAATGAAGATTATGAAGATTATGAAAATGTCAAATTCAAAAAACGAAGTATAGTTGAACCGTTAAAAAGAAAACCAGAAAAACAATCATCGGTGTCGTCATCTACACCTACACCTTCACCTCCACCAATTAGACAACCCGATACTTCAACTACGCCATCGATTAGTACCACTAATTCGATTGAAAAACAATCATCATCACCACCACCATCATCGTCGTCACCACCACCATCGTCATCACCACCATCGTCATCACCATCACCATCATCATCACCAACAACAAATATAGAAAATGTTAAAGTTAACAAAACAGTTCCAGTAAAAGATGCTTTGTATTGGTGGAGAAATGATCCACTTATTAATGTCCATCATGAACATTGGCATGTAGTTTTTGTTAATAGTCCAGTTAACGGTACATATAAAGATAGAGAAGGAGAAAATTTTATTTATATGCACAGATTCATGTTAGCAAGGTAATTAATTAACATCTTTCATTGGTAGTGGTATTGATGGATATATATATATATATTAGAAGATATTTTATATATGTTTAATCATTTTTTTATTTTTTAGATATGATGCTGAACGTTATGCACTTGGAGTAGCAAAAGTCGCAGCTTTACCAAATTATCGAGAACCTATACCTGATGCTTTTTATCCACCTTCCCATTTATATGAAATCGTTAATAATAAAGTTGTTCACTTTCCATCTCGTCCACCTGGTCAAGTTTTTCATGATACAGGTTAATAAACGAATCAATAAATAATAATTGGATTTCTTATTTAATCGTAATATAATAATAATAATAATAATAATAATAATAATAATAATAATGATAATGTTAATTATTATTGTTTTTGATTATTTTAGTTGTTATGACACAGGATAATCGTAAAGACGATACATCATATACACTTAAAGAATTGGAAAATGCTTTGATAACATTGGAAAAATGGATTGATGGCGAAGAGACTTATCTTAACCCATCTAACTTATTAAATGACCCTAATGGAAATACTGATTTAGGTGCTGTCATTGAAGACGTATTACATAATGTTGGGCACGCAATGCTTGGTCGCGTTATGGCTCCCAATGATACTAATGCTCCACCAGGTGTTTTGGTTGGTGCTCGTGCAGGGTGTCGTGATCCATTATTTTGGAGATGGCATCGTCACATTGATGATATTTATGTTAGATGGCAAACTAGATTAGGCTTGAACATGTTCAGTAATGATATCCCACCAATAAAAATTGGAAATAATGACATTTTCCTTGCATTTAAAGACGAGCTATTTAATCTTGATAAAGATGGTGATCATAATGGATGGGTTAAATATGCCAAGAAAACAATCGGTGGTAATAATTTTGATAAAACATTGGTAAATGTTACCGGATTCACCAACGAATTACAAACTACTATGAAACAAAGAGTTCATGTTTGGCTTGAAGATACCAATGATAAAGAAATCATTGAGTTTATGTACCCGAGAGAATTCTTTACTTTCTTCCGTATTGAAAATCTATCATCTAAAGTAAGTAAATGAACTTTAAAACAATACTTTGATACTCTGATGTTATCATTATGTAGAATTATATATTAATAAAAACCCGTTTCCATCCTCTTTCCCATTTTACTCCATCAATCAAATATTAAGTCATTGCCAGTAACGTTTAGAGTTTTTATCGTTCCAGAGGTATTTATGGATTCGTATGTTCACTGGATAGAACTTGACAAATTCAAAAGAATATTGAAACCATATGAGAAAACCATAATATCACAAGATTGCGACCAGTCAATTGGTATACGTAAACCAGCACAAAAGACTATTAGACAAATGGAAAAATCCACCCAGATGACACCTGATTACGTGAATTCACTAGACCAATTAACATTAGATAAACAATCTGAAGCGATATTTTGTGGTTGTGGTTGGCCATACCATATGGTGATTCCAAGAGGAACGAAGGAAGGTCTTCGATTTAAAATGATGGTTTATGTATCAGATGGTAAAGATGATATGATTCCTGTTGCTCCAACATGTGGAAGTCAATTATTATGTGGTGGTAGAAAATGGAGAGATAAATATCCTGATAAACATCCAATGGGTTATCCATTTGATAGACCTTTTATAAATAAATCATTTTATCAAACGTTTGCTCATTTACCAAATGTTGCTATACGAGATTTTACAATTCGTTGGGTTGAAGATTTTCCTTTATTAGTTCCTTTAAATAATTAATATATAAAAGTTCATTAGTAACATATAGTATTTAACATGGTTGTTATTTTTGTAAATATTTTTTAGGTAAAAAATACATCCATTTTTCTTGTATTATTATTTTATTTATTTTCTCGTAATTTGTTGAATTGGATTTTAACAGATTTAAACAGATTCGATCGATCAACATGTTTTTTTATTTAAAATCCAATTTGTGAGGAATTGATAATATAATTTTTAATTTTATGTATATACAATTGATTCCAATAAAAATTTTTTTAATTGATAATCCTAATCATTTCTTTTTGAAGTGTCTGTTTATATTTATTTCCTGTATTATTATTTCACTATCGATTACTGGCGCAGCTGGGCCAGTAATTGAGGAAATCTCCTCTTGCAAAACATATTCATTTCAAACCTTTTTCAAAATGGATATTTTTTGAGCGAGTAGCTTAAGCCAATGTTGGCATTTGGCTGTTTGGCCGTTTTGGCTAATAAAGTAGATATGACAATTTTATATCAATGTCGTTAAAATTGAAAAAATTTGGCTGCTTTGGCTGACCAAACGGCCAAGGAATTGTTTAGCTGTGACCAAATTCCAACCATGGCTTAAGCTTAAGCTTATGAATAGGAATATATATATATATAATCGTTTGAACTTGGTGAAATGTATTCAAATAAGATTTAAAAAAGTCGCTTCACTTTAACATTTTAACCATAACCTTTTTTTTTAAATTTTAAAATTTTTTCCATGATGCCTAAAGTGCACCTTCCCAATGTTAATTACAGCAGAATCCGTCTATAAGCATACTGTCAAGCCAAGAAAAAATCCTATGCTGCGACGTAAGAAAATTTTTAGATAGTAAACTGCAGGTTATTCTTAAAAAGCAGGTTTTGCATTTATATGTTTATGATGTCACAAAATTCATGATTTTTTTTTAAAATAAAAATCAGTTAACATGTTTATTGTTGAATATACATATTTATAAAAAAAAGATCAATTACTATTCTTTTACATCAAGTACGCAATTACTAAATATTTTTAAATGTTTAGTTATTCCCAAAAAGGCCTGGTCAATTTTTTACTGTCAAAAAAAAACTAAAATAAAAAAGGTTTTTTTCTCACACCAATCAATTCCCTAAAGGTGTTATATAGCCTTTTTATGAGTCACGTGATTTTATTAGATGAACTCCCGTTATTATTATTATTATAATAATAAGAACATCCATTATACGGACATTTTTTGCTTGTCCCAGGAGCGTTATTATAACGGAGTGACCTGTATTAAGTTTAGAATTTTTTTATGCTTATATACAAACAATATGCAGTATACTTATAACACATATGGCCTAACTTGGGCCGAAAATTCTATGCTTTTAGACAGACTCTACTGTACATTATCATCATTATCATTAAATAGGAACAAATAATTTTTTTAAAAAGTAAGATGAAAGTGTTATATAATCAGCAAATGTTCTTATAAATTTAACCCGAGATAACTTGTCGCTGTAACGTTCTCCTCTCTCCTTCCTCCACTCACCATCATCATCTACTATGATTGTATTGGTGTCAATGTTGCCTATAGTATTAGATGAGTCACTATCAGCTATAGTATCACCTTCGTTGGAAGATAGTGTTAGGAAGTCGGAAAATATTGTTTTGTATTCTGGATTAGCGTTTCTTTGATCATTATCATATTTTTTAAAAATGACAACTATTTCTTCTAGAGAATTTTCTAAAGAAAATCCTAATGGTCCTTCCTATTGTTTCTTCTTCCATCTCCCCTGTTGATTTTTTCTTTTAGGGAAACATGGATATTACTTTGATAGAGCTTGTTCTGAAGACCTGTTGTTTATTAATAGTGAGAGGTACTTTTTATTTTCGTGTATTTATTCATAAATGTACATATGTAAACTCGATAAGTCGTGATTTTTTTAAATTTAAAATTTTTTTATCTCAAAACATGCAAAAATAAAACTTTATACATATTCGTGAATATAATAAAATTTAATAGAATACAAATGTATTTCTTTACAAAACCAGACAAAGTGGTATTTACCAAGGATTTCAGGGATCAAAATTTAGTCATTTGCAATGTGATCATAATTAACAGTTTTAATAATATTATTGTAATATTTTTTGGTCAATATTATATGATATTATCAAAATCAATAATATTACATTATCATTTAGAAAGATAAAAGCACACACAGGAAACATATATAATGAAAGAGTAGATGCTTCTGCTAAGGTTGCTTTGAATCTCCCCACTCTTTCCTTTATCACAACATCCTCTCATGTTAAATATGAGCCAAAATGGAAAAACATAATTATTGATACCCATCTACGTCATTTTATCAAACATATCTCATATAATAAAGGCTTTGCAGAATGTACAACTTATATAGAAATAGAAAATATTGAGAATGCAACATAGACTGGAGTAACACTTTTTTTTCATTGAATAATGATGAAACTTCCAATGAAACATCCTTTTTCAGCTCAAATCGTAAAGCTTCCAAAGTCAAATTTATGCTAGAAGAAATACCAACACTGGAACATGTAAAAAAAAGAAGGCTAGATTTGTATAAACATTGGAATTGTATTCTCTGCCACAATGAAAAAGAAGATTTCAATCATGTCTGGTCTTGTCCTCAAAACAAACAGAAAGTACAACAAATCTGTCATGAAACAAAGAAAGAGCTATACAACCAAATCAAGAATAACAAGAAAAACAATAATAATTTTCCTATTCTCATAGAACATAGCACTATATGGTCTGTTGATAGCAACCAGAACAATCTCACATTTATTGACATGATCAAGGGTATTGTTCCTTCTTTCATTACCAACAAAATACAAAATCATACCACAAACTCAAAAATCACTACCAAAATCACATCTATCATTATGAACAATATATATTTAAAAATCATGGAGCGTATTTGGAAACCCAGATGTGAAGAAATGATTAAATTAGAAACCTCATTAAATATTACTAAAAAAGAAAAAAAAATAAAAAAGAAATACAATAAAAATCCTACTAACAACTCCTCTAGTAGTTTAAATAGAGATACAAACAATTTATCAAATGGTTCTGAGGGTATAGAACATGCAATTGCATCAGGTGGTTTCCTTTTAGATTATTATAATGGGTAATAACCATTTGCTTTTATCTATGTTTGAATGTCAGGTGTTTAAATCTTAATACCTTTTTGGGCCTGATTTAGTAGGTAACGGTGAAAGGTTGGTTTCATAGTGAACTAATTAGTTTACTAGGGGGCAGTCATTTTCTTTTTTTTTATGTAACTCATGTATTTTCATTGTCCTACAATAAATAAAATTACGTGACATTACCTCATCGTTAAGGGTAAAAAAAAAAAAAAAAAAAATAGAGTTTTCCTATTTTATATAAATTTTTTTATGCATTATTATTAGTCAATCACAGAGAAAGCTCGCTACTATTACTATTACTATATTAATAAATCACAAAACCGGTTTGCAATTGATAATTACACGCGTTACTGATAATCTAATTTGTAAAATTTAATTTTGTGTGAGTTTAATCGATGAGGACCAGACGAAATAGGTTATTTTACAATTATAGGAATTCGAATTGCTTATACACATGTCTATCAATAATTACATACAAACATGTTATTACACTTGCACTACTTACCTGCATTGTTCTCATGACGTTATTGCCACATAACATAATAAATAGTATATACAGTCAAACCTCGTTTTAAATCTTGTTTCAATGAATTATAATTAAACGCGATTAGTAATTTTGGTATGACAAATTTTAAATTTCTTGCTGAAAAGAATAATCGACTAAGCCATCCAAAAATTTAATAAAGTTTTTCGAATATGAAAAAATTGAACCCGAATTTATGTTGCAACTGGTTTTAATTCGATTATATCAGAGGAAACAAAGGAATTCCTTTATAATTCAAACAAGAACAATATCTACACTCCATTATTTGTTAAATGATGGATGATCACTACAAATTGGAACGAGGTTGTCTGCGCAGCACTTACAATTTTTAAAGTTCTGCTACGTAACAAAACAAGGCTCGTGAAACAAAAACAAAAATGACTAAATTTTCTGAAAATATAGTAACATTATTAGACAACCTTATCATTTCTAATAGCAATGCTTCACCATTAAAATATATTGGTAAGCTTGTGACTGATTTAACAAGCTTATTGTATGGGTCAGATTTTTATGATATGGAAATTAAAATTGGAGCAGATGAAGATGTAAAAACTTTTAAAGTTCATTCTACTATTTTAAAAGCAAGGTCTTCTTATTTCAGGGCAGCATTATCAAACAATTGGGTAAAAAATTCCGGAGATGGTGTTATTTTGTTTGAAAAAGAAAATTTATCTCCAAATATATTTGAAATACTTTTGACGTAAGATTAATTTTATTTGCTTTTTTAATTAATTTGTTGTTTTACAATAATATACATTGTAAAGGTTATATTGATAAAATTAGTTCTTTTTGTTATTTAAAGCTATATTTACAATGGAACTATTAATATGATTAATCTGGATCATGATGAAATTATTGAATTACTTGAAGCTTGTGATGAATTAAATTTCAATGAGTTGATTGATGATTTACAAAAAAATTTAATCAAAAAGGAAAAAAAATGGATTCATCAGAACATAAATTATTTTTATAACATATCATTCAAAAGTCAATCATTTAACTTACTTCAAGATTATTTTAAGGAATTAATTAATTATAAGCCAGAACTATTTCTAAAATCTGAAGATGTTGTTGCAATTGAAAAAACAACACTTTTATTTTTATTGATGCGTGATGATATAATACTAGATGAGATTGATATTTGGAATAATATCATCGAATGGGGTATTGGACAAAATGAAATGTTGGGGAATAAAAGAAATATTTTGGAATGGAGTAAAGATGGTTTGATCGAATTGAAAAATATATTAAAGGATGTAATTCCATTAATCAGGTTTAATCAAATTTTACAAAATGATTTTCATAATTATATCAAACCTTATTTGCAAGTAATTGATAAAGAAATATATGAAGAGCTGTTCCATTACTATCACGCAAATGAATGGCAACCAAAGTCATTATTGTCATTATTGCTTTTTCAAAAAGACCCAAGAACTGAAAAGGGAAAATTGTTAAACACAGAAATGAAAGCTTTGATTTCTAGCTGGATTGATTACAAAAGTGATTATGATTTATATAATCAAAACAATATACCTTATCAATTTGAATTGATCCTTCGTGGGTCTCAAGATGGATTTTCCAAAAAAGTCTTTGAAAATAAGTGCTATAACGTCGAACAGACTATAACTATCATGAAAATTAAAGATACTGGAGAATTGGTTGGTGGTTTTAACCCAGTTTGTTGGAATCTGAATGATGTATATCGTTCTTGTTATTATATTGAAACAGATGAAAGTTTCATTTTCAAGATTGAAGAAAACAAAATAAATGATTCAGTATTAAGTAGAGTAAAGGATCCTGGGTGTGCATTATATCATGATGGCCGCCCATTCATTAATAAGTTAATAAGCAAAAAAAGATTTCATGAAAGTTTGGCAGATTTTAATAATCTAGTATTATATATGAGGACTAATAATAAACTCTATTGTTTTTATTCATTTGCTGATAATGAGAATCATGATGATGGTGTTTTTTATGAAAAAGATTTGAATCTTAGAAATCGTAATAATAAAATTCATCTGCTGGAAGAATGTGAAATATATAGATTGATCAAGAAAGTTTAATAATTAAGGTGGTATTTTATAGATATAATAACAATTATTTGTTTTTTTTCTTTCAAAAGATATGTATATGTGTATATATGGGTTCCATGCTAGCAAAAAGGACCTTCGGGTTCAAGAACCCCAAAATGAGTTATTAACACTGTTATATTCTTTGAAGCGATGATTATAATTTGGCATAATTTTTGTCAACATTCAATTAATAGAAAAGTGTATAATTCTTTTACAAAAATTTATTGAATTTTGATCCCCAAAATTGTATAATGACAAAAAAGGAAATGATAATCTTACAATTTTATTATTATTATTTTAAAAAAATATATTGTTTTTAATTAATTTCCATTTCATTAGAATCAGGATTTGAAAAATGAACATCCTTATGAGGTTCCTCTACAAAATTTCTAATTTTTTTTTATAAATATAATTTTCTTTCCAAATCTATATTAATTGGAATAATATTAAAGGGTTCATTATGACTAAAGTTATTATCTTTTAAAAGATTAAACCATTTTTCCTCACCACCAGATTTTGTTGAAACTAGGGATGTTAATCAGTCCTTTTGGGACCGGGTCCTGAACAGTCCGGACCAGACTTTTTCAGGTCCAGTCCTGCCGTTTGGGACTTAAAGTCCTAAAAGGTCACTGTATAACCTTATGTGCTGATTTTGTTTGAACCTCAAAAATTCAGTATGACACAATAAGGTTTGAAAAAAGAGTCCAAAGCAAATAATTATTATTAGAAGGTACTTTGATGCACCACCAGAAGAAATTGAATGTTTGGATTGGTATGCATCAAGAATAAAAGATCCTAATTATATAACTCTGTCACATATGGCAAAAGATTTTTTTCAATACAAGCCACAAGTGTGTCAAGTGAGCAAATGTTTTTAGCATTGCCAAACATACATTAAATCCAATTCGAAATAGGTTGGATTCAGAAAAAGCACAAGCAAGTCTATGTGTAAAGAGCTGGATTGAAGCAGAAATTGTTTCAATTTAATTTTGGTTTTTTTATTTTGTTTGTTTTTGTGTGTATATATATATTTTTTATAATAATAAAATAACGTGTTTTTTTAGTTTCAATAATATGTTTAAAAAAACTTGGGACTTTTTCAGGACTTTTTAGGACTTTAAGTCCCAGGACTTAAGTCCAGTCCAGTCCCAAGATAGGACTGCCAGTCCCAGGACTGTCCTGGACTGTTTAGGACCGATTAACATCTCTAGATCTAGATAATGTTGAAGTGACCTTTCCTACTTTTGTTTGACTAGTATAAGTAAAATCATTGTTCAAAAGGAAACCTGTTATTTTGAGATCGATGGTAAAAGAGCATCAAGAAAACAGCCTCTCCAGAACGCGTTTGCACTAATAATTTACAAAACTCAAGGTTAATATTAATACTGCATTGAATGTCGACGAGAGTATGTTTGCTGTGGAGGACAAGTATACGTTGCGATGAGTCGACCCTCTTCATTAGAAAGTCTGCACATCCTCGACTTTGATTATCATCAATCAGTTAAAGGTCTCTAGTGCAGTTCTGGAAGAGTATAAAAGATTAGAAGCCGTTAATATTGAAGGATTGCAGAAACTGGATAAAATAATATAATATTAACAATAAAAAAATTTTTTTTCGTGTTACGAAATTTTTCTATGTCAACAACAAACAATATTAACATTGATATACCAACCAATCAAACAAACTCGCTGCAACCTTATCAAAAGCTTTAAAAAAAAATTTTTTTTATTATAAAATTTTAGGTAATTTTTGACGTCTATAGATGATTTGCACCATATGTATCCATTTTTGTACTAGAGTTTTGATTTTTTGCCACATAACTATACTCTTAAAAATTTCTAAAAAATTTCCTATCTAATGCAAAACGGATGATATCGGCCAAATACAGACTATCGGATTATCTTTTTCTATCTGATAAAATTCTTATTTGTTTTTTAATCCGATTTAAGAATTTCTGTAAACTCCTGTACAACATTTTTTTTTTTTTTTATCTTATCTATGTCGATGAGATCAATTTGATATCTTATCTCCACGTTATGTTTGTTACCTTTTCAGATAAAATAAAATAAAAATTGAAGTATATATTTTGTTTTATCTGTTTCATTCGTCTTATCTCTCTTGTTAAATTTCATTATTTCTTCTCATTCCACTTAAGTTTTATTATTTGTCATTTTTTTTTAAAAAAAAATATGGATGCAAATATAGGAAGCCTTATTACTAATAAAATTGAAGTTGTTGAAATAGATTCCCGAGATGAAAATACCCCGGATAATTGGGTTCCGCGTCATCCTGAGATGGTAAGGTTAACCGGTAAACACCCTTTTAATGCTGAATCCCCATTATCCTTATTATTGAAGCAAGGTTTCATCACCCCAACTCCATTACATTACGTACGAAATCATGGACCTGTTCCTAAACTTTCTTGGGACACTCATCGTTTAATAGTTGATGGGTAACAAAATTTAATAATATCTTTTTTATCATTTTATTCAATAATTTTTTAATATCTAAAATATCATGTTTTCCTCTTCATCTATCTTATATGCTTTTTTTAGCCTTGTAAAAAATCCTTTAAATTTGTCCATGGATGAAATTGCAAGTCTCCCTTATTTGGAATTTCCCCTGACTATGGTTTGTGCCGGAAATCGTAGAAAAGAACAAAATATGATTAAACAAACTATTGGTTTCAATTGGGGGGCAGCTGCAGTCAGCAATGCAATCTGGAAAGGAGTACCATTACGTCACATTCTAGAATTGGCTGGAGTTAAATACGATCCTAAGCAACCTCGTTATGTATGTTTCGAAGGTGTCGATAAATTACCTAATGGTGTATATGGTACAAGTCTTCCATTAGAATGGGTGATGAATGAAGCAAATGATATTATATTGGCCTATGGAATGAATGGAGAAAGGCTAACACCTGATCATGGATTCCCTATACGTTCAATTTTACCTGGATACATTGGTGGACGAACTGTTAAATGGTTAGGAAAAGTAAGTATAAGTGATAAAGAATCTGACAGTCACTATCACTTCCTAGACAATCGAGTACTTCCTCCAGAATATGACGCAGAACGAGCCACTAAGGAGAGAATTTGGTATAACCCAAATTATATCATTTATAAACTCAACATTAATTCAGCTATAGAATCTCCGGCACATGATGAAAAAATCGTGATTTCAAATTTAGCACGTAATGCTGAATATACAGTTAAGGGATACGCATATATCGGAAATGGTGTAAAATGTATACGTGTAGAAATATCTTTGGATCGTGGAAAAACATGGTTACTTACCAAGCTCACACAACCAGAACTTGAATTTCCTCTTGTAAAAAAACGAGGAATGGATCCATTACCAAGATTTTGGTGTTGGACTTTTTGGGAGTTAACAATTCCGATACAATCATTGATCAGGTGCGAAGAGATTTCTGTACGAGCTTGGGATTCTAATCAGAACACACAACCACGTGAACCAACATGGAATGTTATGGGAATGATGAATAATTGTCATTTTAAAGTAAAAGTTCATCCATTTATTGAAAACAACGAGTTTGGATTGAGATTTGAGCATCCGACTCAACCTGGTAACCTTCCCGGAGGATGGATGGTTAGGAAAAAAGAAGAGGAGACCAAAAAGGAAGCTAAAGATGATAAAAAAACCAAAACTCCTCCAAGTAAAGCAGCAGCAAAAAAAATCTTTACTATGGGTCAAGTTTCCAAACATAATAATGAAAATGACTGTTGGATAGTTATTGCCAATAAAGTCTATGATGCAACAAATTTCTTGAAAGATCATCCCGGTGGTAAGTGAAAAAGAAGGGTTATGAAAGTTGATTCGTAATTAAATATACAACATTATCAATTTATTATTTACTAATTTTATTTAATATTTTTTAATTTTAATAATTTATCAAGGAAAAACTGCGATTTTAATTAATGCAGGAACTGATGTTACAGAAGAATTTAATGATATTCATTCTGAGAAAGCAAAAGAAAAATTAAATGAATTTTATGTGGGTGATCTTGCTACAGGCAAAGAAACCCAAAAATCTAAATTATGAGTCTCAAAAGACACACACACACACATATATATATTTATTTATTTAATCTATATTTAATCTATCTTTTCCAAAGTTATTATTATGTAAACTATATATAAACCATGAAATCAAATGTATTGTATATTAATTAATATTCATAAATATGTACAACAATCTTTTTTTTTATTAAGAAATAAATTAAGTTAAAATTTAAATTGCTTAGGTTTAAAAAATCCCAAGTATTGTACGTATCACGTGTGTTTGGAAAAGAATAATAGTGTATTAAATAAAACTAAACGTTTAACAAAAATTATATATATATCAAAATCCTTGGGAGCTCTCGTCCCTAGAACTATCTTTACAAATCCAAAGCTAATTAGCGCACAGCGGCGGTTGGATCAAATTTTAGGGTTTATCAAACGAAACCAGCCAACCTTGAGTTATAACTCCTTTTACAGAGGATCATCAAATCTTATGGTTTACACTTGAAACCAACCTCTTACCAACTTTAAAACGTGAAGGTCTTTAGCCTATAAAGACCGCTTCTACGATTTATATAAAGTTTTGGGCACCAACCCAAACGAAAACGTGCTAGCTTTTCTATAAGGTTTTGGAACCGTCTATGTAGTTTAGTTATCTTCGCTAAGACGTCCCCTCCCCTATGAAGTTTGAAATACGTGTAGATATTTACAAGAGTTTTACAAAAAAAATTAAAAGAATTTAATAAACAAAAATTTATTAATCGTAAAATATCTTTTCCTCGGATGAATGAATAAAAATTCACTGATGGTAAGTACTTCGAGAGTATTTTAAATAATTTAAGAAATATTTTTGTGTTAAAATATTATTAACATGAATGTCTGTCCTCGACTTCTTCAACAATTCGAGGTTCATATAAGAAATTTGAGTGTTGTTAAATGATTTAAATCCAAAATTTTCTTGTATATATTCAAACGATTTATTTTTCGTGATATCAAAACGGTTCACGAAATACTAAAAAAGGTAATTTGTATAACGCATACTTTTACAAAAGTAATTGGTTTCCAATAATTGAAAGATTTTCCATTTTAATCTATAACACTCGTGCCTGATTTACCATGATTAAACTCTATTTTTGAACCTGAATGCCAACTAGTGATCAAACCATATGATAGATAGGACAACATTTTTGACGTTTTCCAAGGATTTCTGAAGTTAGCTGTGACTTCATATATTCAATGAAGATTCCTCGACTTTCTTCATTGTACTTCCTATTTTAAAGATCTTACTTGAGTCATTGAAAGGGCTCTTCAACAAGTAATAAAAAATAATTTATTGAAACAGAAAAAATATGAATGCAAGTGTACACAAAAAATGAATTGAATGGACAGAAAAGTATAAACAAATTAACTTTGGTGATGATTTAGCTAAAAGAAAGAAAAATCTTCACTTGAGATGTACGCAGACTTTGCATTTTCAGCATAGTTGAAAAATTTTTTTTTTTCCTCATCATTGAGATAATTATAATTCGAAGGAAGAAGAGTTTGTATTTGCGGTCAGTGTACTTCAAAGTAACGCAGACTTTGCAAACTTTGCGTATGAAATAGTCAGTAGATCGATCCATCCATTCTAGTGACTTTTGATGATCGAAATTTTTATGTAAATTTTCAAAAAAAAAAAACTTCAAACCTTTATTTGGTATCTTTATTGTATAGCAATCATTACCAAATCTGACATATAGTTTCTTTGCAATATGTTCTTATATAAAAATTTTGTGTGCGGTTATTAATAAAACAGATAAGAATCACTTCTTCACCTTGAAGTTCACCTTTCGTTTTCTGAGTTTTTGCTTTTTATAATAACGTTGTTTCTAAACAAGAAAATAACTTTTCAGTATTTGACAAGTTATTATTATAATTTGATTTGTCATTATTACATTGTTATATTTAAAAACAAATTCTTTTTATTCTTTTATTCTTTCGTTCTTTATTCATTCTTCTGTTATTTATCATTATTCATTTGTTGGTTGCAAATAAAAAATTATTGTCACACAATGTTAAAGTTTGTTTATATTCCCATATTTATTCATTAGAGTTTCGGATCTAATTTAGCCTATACATGTTGATTATTTGCTAGGAATTATTTAATGAAATTAAGGAGCGAAACACGCATTAATATATACAACACGCCAATATAAATACCATCATCACTTTCCTTTTGAGATGATACATCGTCATGCATTTTTTCAAAAAAAAATTTTTTTTTTTGATTGGTATGCACCATTCATTCATTCATGTATGAAAATTGGAATGTGGAGCAAAAGCAGAAACATGTAATAACAAATGAATGAATGATTGGCATGTATGCTTTCATGTTGTCATTATATATTTATTATTTTGAGAAAAACCTCTCTCACACACATGCTGAAGGCTGTATGCATGCATACTTGAACTTTGGAAACTCATCTGCAGTTGATTGATTATCAGGTAGTGTTTCGTGTCGCAAACCAAAATGGGAACAATGTGGTTGCAAAGGTGGTTGCAACCACCACCACCACCACCAAAAGTTATGACCAGCATCTATATTATCGGATAGAAGCTTTAGTAGATAAAATCCATTTCATTCAATCATTTTCACCTTTTCCTTGACCATACAAGGCTAAGCTGGCTAAGTTTGCCCTGGGGTATGATGATGTGATTTAAAATTTCAGGAGGGGGCTTTTGGGTTGCATAGACCATATATATATAATAAATATTTTTCAATCGATTTTATTCTTCTAGATTTTCTTTTCTTTCTAGGTTCTTTATGATTTTGTGTTGATGTTCTTTTGTTAATCGTTGATTTTTCTTTCTTGGTAAATTTCATAAGTAATCCTTTCTTTTCTTAGATAAGCTTCTAGTGTTTGAGTATTATTTATTTTGAAAACATAAGGTGCAATTTTTTCACCTTGCACTTTCTTCAAAAAATATATACCTTTAACGGTGCTATAATTCTTGGGTTCCATGGTAGACTTGATGTAAAATTAACTTCATATTGTTATTTCTTTCTATATATAACATTTAACAAATGGGATATTATAAAACTAATTGTAACGATAATAACTAAATTTTGACCCTTGTAATTCCGGTATTATGAATGTTCACTTTGTCTGGTTTTGTTGCAGCATGCTCCATATATTCTAAATTTTTTAAAAAAAGCATGATGTGCATGAAATTTTTGCAATCTACACTTCCTGGTCATAAATATAAGGACACTTGCAGATCATCGGAAATAATTGAATAAAGAAACATGAAAAAAAATA